CGCCGTTGTGGGGGGGCTCCGATCTGCGGAACAGTCGCCACTTGCGAGGGCTTTTTGGGGGCTCAATGGAGCGAGCCTGTCGCAGCTTTGGAGGGCCGCTGGGGGGGGGGGGGGGCGCCCAGCATAATGATGTTGCGCGCAAATTCGAATTTTACTTCGCCATCCCTGGAGAGGGGGGCTGCGATGCGCGAAATTGCAGTTGGTGTTTGAGGTTTGTTGGGGGGCCCAGCGGAATCATGCCCAGCGGAACGATGCCCTCGACCTCGGTGCCCCTGGGGGGATGCGATCTGCCAAAGCTACCGCCGCGTTCGAGGGCGACTGGGGGGCACAGCGGATTGACGCCCCACGCAGATTCAGATTCGTTGTTCTTTCCTTTTCCCCGCGGCCCCCCGCGGGCCGCCCGAGAGCATGCTGGCGCGCATGCGGGCGTCCAGTTCCCGCACTTCAGAGTGCAGAAAGAACGGCGAACCTGGCGGTCTAGCTTTGCTTCGCTCGCTTGTTGCGCAAGGTATGAACAGCTGACCCCTTGGAACGCCAGGTCGACATGGCGCGCGCCGCGCTGCTTGTCCATCGCGCCATTGGTACATGATCGCCACCCTCCGTCCTCATCCTGCCTCTTTCGCTGGCGTCCGATTATTCCGTCCACCGCCTCACCTCTGCTGTCGCGTTGAGTTGTCGGTGCGATTTCGTTGTTCTTCTGTTCCCCTCGTCCCCATCGCCATTTCCTCGTCGATCCTGGGGATTTCGCTCTCCGTCCTTTTGTTGCTGTCTTCTGAGTTGTGCAACGCGCGCAGTCCCCATGCAGCTTGCACAGACAACGGCATATCCTGTGCTCGCACTACCCGTGTGAATGTTGACGAACTCGTCTTGTAATTTAATGCAGCTGGGTTAGGTACGCCGCAACGTAATTATCTGTACGCATATCCGTAAGGTTTTGGCCCTTTGCCGGTGGCCCCCTTATCAAAATGGCACATGCCAAAGTTATGCTGGAAGGCCACAGCGCCGATGTGAAATATGGCCGGATCCTGATGCGAGGACGGCTGGTAATCAATCTCATTTACAGAGGATCGCGCGAGCATGGCGCAAGGTACGAGGGCTCGTTGCTTCGGAGGCGCGAATCTCGCGTACGTTACGAGGATTGTGTCTTCGGGGGGGCAAAGCAGATGCAATTGGCAGGGGGTTCTCGCTTCGGGAGCGCGACGCTGCTGTAATGTAGTTTGGAGCTTTGTGTCGGGAGTGCGAGTATTACGTAATACCCCCAAGACCGCGAAACCGGCGTCATTTGCAAAGGGTTCTGGTCTCGGGGGCGCGATCGTGGCGCAATTCGCAAGATTTTTTTGCCGGGATCGCGAACCACAAATCACTTGCAATGGGGTTCTGGCGCCGGTTGCGAGAAGATGGCAGATTTTACCAAGCATTTTGGTTTCGGAATCGTGGGTCTGGTATCTCTCACGAAGGCTTATTTGATTCGGGGATGCGAGCGTCACGTTTTTTGACGTGTCCCAGGGGCCAGCCTGGTTTTCGGCACCCCCATCGCTCTGACAACAACAGTTGTCAGTAGGAAACAGAACGTGTAACTATCACAGTGGAGATTTGAAGTTGAAATTGGCGCAGGAAGCTGGCAACCTCAGCCACGCACCCTGATGGCCCCACAAAGGAGCCATCAGGACTTCTGTTGTCCAGTCCATCTGTATTTGTGCTGGCGCGAACTCTCTACCCCGGACCCTGTGCTGTCCAGTCTGGCTATGCTCTCGAGGGCGGGGACTGGAGGAAGCCAAACTTTTGAACCTGGCAGTCAGGATCCCTGGAGCCATGCCGCCAGCCGAAGATAGGTGACGCGTTTTTCCGCACAGCACGTGCGAGGACACCGTCAGTGCAAGTATGTATTGTTTGGGTGCGTGGCGCGCGTCGTCTGCAGGGCATTTCCACTCTTGGCAGCGGTGGCGGCGGTGGGTGTCTCCGGGCAGGCTCGGCAGCACGGCCGTGTGGCCCTGTCGGGTCTCTCTTGCGCCGCCGTGGACAACTGGTAGCGGCAACCGAGCGGACGTGCAACGAGTTTTTTCAGGGATCGGTGGTGCCAAATGGGGTGAGGTACAGAGGGATGAAGACGTGGAGGAGTGGGCAAGGATCAGCAAGGGAGCATCCGGAGAAGAGGGAGGCGGGAGGACCGGAAGGGGGGGGTGAGGAGTGGGATATGAGCGGGAGCAGCAGCAGCGGCAGGAGAGAAGCAAGGGGGGGAGGCGGAGTGGCAGCGGGGAGCCACGCAGGAGCGGCCGTGGTGCTACGAGGCGTGCGCAGCAGCGAGAAGAGGTCGGGCGGGAGGCCGCCCGCGCGCTTCCCCGGGAGGTCGCGGCGGGGAGCGTTCTGAGAGCTCGGTGCGGGCGCAGGTTGCGCTTGCCTCGGCGGGCCGGGGACTGCTCGCGCGGCCAGTGCTCCCCGCCGCGCGGGCGCGCCGCGGGAGCAGACGCGGCAGGGAGCGGAGGCGAGGCGGGCCGCGGTGCAGCGCTGCGGCAGATAGGGGGGAACGATGTGGGGCGAGCGCAGCGGAGAGGAGAGGACGGGCGACGCCGACAGAGAGCAACGTCGCACGAGCGGCCGGTAGCTGGCAGGAGGCAGGAAAGAGAAGCTGGCGAAGACGAACAGGCACACGTGGTGGACCGTCGCGGCCACGCGCGCAGCGACTTGGCGGAGTCAGGCGTGCAGGAGCGGCGAGAGAAACACAAACACACACACACACACACACACACACGTGCCAACACACACTCACTCTCTCTCCTGATTGTCGCGGCCACGCTCGCAGCGACGCGGCGGAGTCAGGCGCGCAGGAGCGGAGAAAGAGCGAGAAAGAAAGAGAGAGAGGGAGAGACACACACGCACAAAAACACGTTTCAACAGTCGTACACGCGAGCAAAGAATATGCACCGACGGCTTGTATTGAAGTGTCAAATGACAGTGACAGACTGACCCAACAAACATCGGAGGGAAAGCAACAACACAAATGAATTACACGACTACCAATGCCAGAGATGCTGACACGCAGAGAACGCAAAACAACAGTAGTGCAGAGTTTTTTCCACAGAGACAGCGCCATGTCACAGCCGACTGAAATTGTGCAAACTGCGTGTAGTACAATCGTACAGCGATGGAAGTACAGTGACCTTGGGATCTGCGGGTCGCCCTGACGCTGTTCCCCCGTCCCGCCCCAGCAGCGCGCCTTCGCTGGGAGTAAGAGTGGTGGGGGAGCTGATCACCATGATCTTGATGATAATCATGATCACCAACATTCAGATGATTGGTGTTGTCATGACCCTCGTGACGATGATGATCATCATGATCATCACCATAATCATCACTATGACCATCAACATCGTACCCACTGTCGCCAGTACCGTTACCATGGACGCGATGAAGATGGCCGTGGTGGACACCGACAAGTAAACCAATATGGCCAACACGCGAAGGACCTGAACGCGCCCAGTCGCATCGTCGCCCATTTGAAAATCCAAAGAACTTCATCTCCACCGTTGTATCGAAAGGGCTGCGCCCTATGTCGCCAGAAACCCAGGTTGAGCCACATTGTAGCTATACTGAAACAGCTTTGAAGCCATGGGGCCTCTCGGGTGCATCTTTGGGCAATCTTCGAACCACCTTGGGCAATGTTGGAGCTATCTCGAGTCTGGGGCACGTATTGAAAGCGTTGTGGTGACAGTTTCGGGCCTGTTGGGCCCTTCTGGACCATTTGGGCGTCATCTCTGGACCAACTTAGGGCCATTTTTGGCAATCTCGGGGGCTCTAAGGGCCGTGTCAGAGCGATGTTTGAACACCTTGCGAGCAAGATGCAGGACAAGCAACACGTATTGTGAAATCACGATTGTTTGATATTGTTTGTTCTCTCGAGGGCGTCTTGCGGCATCCGGGGGTATCTTAGCAGCATCTTGGGACAAGATTCGGCCCTCTTGGACCATCCTGGCGCCGTCTGAAGCCCTGATGGGCTGTCGTGAGCCACGTTTGTCGGTCTTCTCTTCGGCCACCATGGCGCCACTTCAGAGGCCATCTGCCTGGTTGTGGCGAAGAGGAAGGGCCCGAAGGCTCGTGAAGAGGCCTGGAGAGCTGGATCGATGGTTCCCTCATCATTAATCATGCACGCCCAGCATCTCCGTGTGAACCTTGAGGGCGGCGAACTAGTGGCCTGCGGCCCACCCCGCTGCTGGGAGGAGGAGGAGGAGGAGGAGGGGACGAGGAGGAGGGGGAGGGCGAGGAGGAGGAGGAAGGCGAGGAGGAGGAGGAGGAGGAGGAGGAGGAGGGGACGAGGAGGAGGGGGAGGGCGAGGAGGAGGAAGGCGAGGAGGAGGAGGAGGAGGAGGAGGAGGAGGAGGGCGAGTTTCTCCAGCGGGGCCTCCTGGAGGTCCGGGGGTCGTCTTGGGGGGGGGGGGGGCCCGGCCGCAGGATCCGGCGCGCCCCTCTGATACCACAAACGCGGGCACTCGCCAAGAGCCGAGGAGGAGGAGGAGGAGGAGACGGCCTGTGAGTCTTGCTTGGATAAGAAAATGGCAGCTTCATGTCAACCCCAGACAGGCTCGTAAGCTTGACTTGCCGTCGGGTCCTGCGAAGCAGGGGCCAGGGACTGCACTTGTCACACCAATGGTTTCCGGTCCAAGAGCAGTTAGTTGCACGCATCAGACACGATGTGCACACGCAACGAGCGGGCACACCCAATGAACGTTAAAGGAACCGAAGTGCAGACGCGCGTCGCAGAATGAACGGCATGAGCATTAGCTCTAAAAGTAGGGCCGCTCGGTGCAAACCGCACACGTTGCCTACAGTGTGTGTCTTAACCGTAGCATCAGCATTTCGGGAATCAGCATGTGCGAGGTGATAATAAGCTTGGCTCTTCTTACATCTGACCTGTGCGGTGTTTTTTCGAAATAGCGTTTTCAGGTCAGTCGATTGCGCTGTCTGAACATTGCCGTCCACCACGAGCTCAGTTCCTTCTCCTTGCGTATAGTCACGCCTGTCTGTTTATTGGTCATTGTTCTTGTCTCTGGTCGTCGCTGCTGGCTGGTCGCGGTGTCTCCAGGCCTGTTCCACGCAGGTGACCGGCCAGTGCTAGGGCGTTTGTTTTCGTGTTTTTAGCTTTGCACTCCGCGTGCGGAGCAGGAGGACCGGGAGAGCGGGAGCGAAGACGGCAGTGAAGACAGGGAGCAGGCGTTGACAAGAAGGCAACCAATGCTAAGGCAAGTACTTTGCTTCGGGAGATTCCCACCGAAACCTTTGGAGTGTGTTCCCAACGGTGCGCGCGCCTATTTGAGCGATGTGCCGGGGGCCCGGCGGTCTCGGCCAGCGCGTTTGCCGAGCCAGGTCGCAAGTTGATGTTTTCCGAAAGTCTAACAACCCCAGGGCCCTGACGAAAGAAGCCGAGACAAGTTTCTGGAGCGATAAACCAGCCCCCCCCCCCCAACGCGTCTTGCGAGACCTCTAGAACTTGCTGCTCACTTCTTCCTCCCCGATTGTTATGCTCGATAGGGCTCTCTTCTGCTACGCTATCATATGATATATTATGTTGTCGACGGGGCGGCGTGACACCGTGACGCCTGTCACGTTAGGTACGTCGTCCGACCGGTTGTTGCTGCGCCTGTTTGTGCTTGTGGCTCGGCTGGCCTCGGCGCGCACGTCGCGTTTGATCGTGTTATGGTACAGCCTGTTATTTTATCAAGTTCCTCTTCAAGTTCGTGTTTTCCTAAGGTTGGAGTGTGCTCTGTTATTCTCACCTGTCATTGTATGACTTGTGATGTTATGAGGTTCTCTGCTCTATGGCACCACATTATGACATCATACGTATGGTCTGTCAGGTTACACTAAGGTATGTTATTATGTGACGCTGTTTAGGGGATGCCCAGCTCGTTCCAGTATAGTGAGCGGGCGAGAACTCAGGGATCTACATGGGGGCCTGCCGAAGCGGTGCGAGGGCCTTGCAGCCCATCTCGGCGCCACCTCGGATTGTCCTCGGGGCGTCTTCGGACTGCCGCTCGCCCGTTTGCACGCATGGGTGAACGTTGAGAATACGCCCCGGAGAGCTGGAATTCCTGGGTAGCCCTGTTGAGGAGCGTCCAGACGGTGCCCCCGGGCTGTCATGGAGCCGCTTACGGGCAGTTTGGGAGTCGTCTAGGGCCCTCATGGCGCCCTCCCAAAGAGTGAGGATGCCGATTTGGCTCGTGTTGGGGCCTTCCCTGGCCGTCAGGGCGCCGCCCATGGGCAGTTTGGGGGCCGTCCTGGGCCCTCGTGGGGCCGCTTTGGGGATTCAGGAAGCGCGTTTGGGTTTAGTTGGAGCGGTGTTCGGAGCTTTGACAATGTTTTGGGAGCTTTGACAGGCCAAAGGAACGCATGGCAGCAAGTTTTACAACATCATTGAAACGTCAGTGTTTTTCGTGCTCGAGCGTGTCTTGGAGGTACCTTTCGGGTCGCCTCAGGGCATCCGACTAGGGCCAAAGCCACCTTGATGCAATTTTGGACCGTCTTGGGCGTGTTTTGGGCCTTCCGCCGGCCGCCTTGGGGTCAGTTTGGGGCGGTCATGGGGCCGCTTGTGGGCAGTTTAGGGCCAGCCGTCGTGGGGTCAGTTTTGGGCGGTCATGGAGACTCTTGTGGGCAGTTTGGGGACTTCTTCGGGCGCTCATGGGCCTCATTTAGGCCGTGTAGGGGCGGTTGTCATTGCCTTTCCAACGTTCCTGGACTCGTGGAAGGCTGAATTAGCGAGTATTTGAAAATCACACAAAAAACTAATGAAACATATATGTTTTCGGGGTTCGAACGAGTCTTTGGGGTGACATTGTGGTGATCTTCGGGCATCCGGCGGGGATCAACGCTAGTTGGATGCCATCCTGGACCGGCTTGTGTGGCTCTTGGGCTTTTTGCCGATCGATTTGGGACTGCCACCCGCCTGCGTGCACGCCTTGGCAAGGATTTCGGGCCTCCCCCCGTGCCACGGATCCGCGGGGTCCCGTTTTTGCGGGGGTCGAACCCTTTGGATTAGAAACATAGAGAAAAGGACATATCCGTACACACATAGATGTATACATATATGATGTGTATATATATATGTGTATACATACGTGTTTGTATACATATGAACATAGATTTGTAACCTATATATGAACGTATATTTAGAAATAGAGAGATACAGGTAAACAAAATTATTCACTGCGTGGGGATGCCCATATGTGCATCTCCTTGCTGGCGCTCCCTTGGTGGTGGGACTCGGTGAGGACGAATCTGGATTTAAGTGTGACTGAGCTGCCTCTCTCTCTGCTCTCTCTGCTCTCTCTGTCTCTCTCTCTCTCTCTGCCCTCTCTCTGTCTCTGCCTCTCTTTCCCTGCTCTCTCTCTCTCTCTGCCTCTCTCTCTGCCTCTGTCTCTCTGCCTCTCTCTCTCTCTCTGCCTCTCTCTCTGTGCCTCTCTCTCTCTGCCTCTATATCTGCCTCTCTCTCTCTCTCTCCTCTCTCTCTTCT